CTTCCTACTAGGTCTTAAAAGCAGAGATCTTGTAACTAAAAGGATCATGTGATTTCACATGGATGAAAAGCGGAGCATACGAGTTTTTACGGAATACCTTAGTTCTTAACTGGCCATGTTATAACTTGATGTCTATATCGAGAAAATGCATGGTGGTGGAGCTTTATTGTTCTGCCCACAATGAGAGGCCATAAGTGTTATCATTGAAAGCTTTGGTGAACATTGCCAAGTCCAGTTTTTTCTTCCAAATAATCAACACATCATCCACATATCTAGTGTACAACTTAATGTCATCGCTTATGCTAGGTAAGACGTGTCGTTCCAGGTACCTGACTACCAATTCACAAAGCGTTCCCAATATGGGACTACCCATAGGTACCCCTCTAGTTTGAAGAAAAGTAAATTTTTTTAAAGCACTATGTGCACTAATAGCACAATATAGCACTATTTTTTAAAAGTGCTACATTGAGTATGCACATATCTCAAGACATGCAATTTTTAAATTTTTGGAATGGACGTTCTCTTACAAGTATTCCAATGCATGGAAACCTGATGATGACCATTAAAAACGGAAGAAAAAATTTTTTTTGAAGAGAATTATTGCTGGTTTTAGGTAATTACTTATTTATTTATAAAAGCTAAAATTTTTATGTTAATTTTTATTTTATTTTGATGTTATTTAATGATCTGTTGTTAATTNATTATTGATAAATACTTAATATTAGTTAGGATTTTTATTTCAAAGTATCTTAAAATTATTTCTAAGAGTTTTACATAGTTATTGTATATTGGCTTTTAATACCACTACACAATAACTATAAAATTTGCAAGATCCAAAATGTTAACAAGAAACAAATTTTACATCTGAGGTCATTAAAAAAAATCAAAAATTATTAAACTAGAAATGTCAGTACTAGACTTTTTGACTACAAAATCAAAAATATACAACAACAACAAATATAAAACTCAAATGTTACAATTTCAGTTCACTAATTATTACAATAAATTGATTATTAGTAAAAATCATAATTATTCCATTATTCCTAAATCTCAAACATTTAACCTAATTAGGGAAAATAGCTTAGCAGAAAAAAACCCTTAATCTACACAATTTAACAGCAGAATTGAAGACTAGCTTTCTGTGTTGCTATCTTCTATTGTACTATACATATGGATGTTTTAACCAATTGCTTAATTTTAAATCTTCTCACAGCTGGTTATATAGTAAAAAACCAAAAAACCTGTAAAATTAAATCAGCGAATATATTTAATATACTTTGACAGAGATCTGATGTACATTGGTTTGACCAAAAGGTCTGTTAAAAAATGACTGGCGGAGAATAAATACAATATACTGTACATAACAAAAAGCAGACCCCCGCCCTAGCAATATATTCTTTTGAAACTAGTGTGAAAGCTAAACTACAGCAGGCTAGCTTCATTAAATGCACCTTTCACACTGAGCGGATCAAAAATTTGGAGGCTCAATTTTTTTATGATCCTGACAACATTAATAACAAATAGAAATCAACTACTTCCATTGGGATTTGTTACAAATATATTCACTAAATTTTTATGTTAATTTTAATTTTTAGTGTTAATATTAACACACAGATGTGGTTTTTATATTCGTTTCAATATTTAATTGTTAACACATAGATGGGAATTTTTGTATTTCTTCAAATATTCAATCATTCCAGTGATTTTAAAATTTAAAATTGCTCTTTAAGCATTCCAAATTTTTGTATAGACCATTTTGAGTTGAAGCAGATCCCAATTACAATCGAAAGCACTTGTCAAAGTATATTAAAACTATATTTGCTGGTTTAATCATAAAGGTTTGTTGGTGTTATTTACTATATAACCAGCTTTGAGAAGATTTAGAATTTTTTAAAATCAGAATCGAAGGTTATTTTAAAGAAAAAATATTTAAAGGACACCATTTCAAAGACTTGCATCATACTGAGAAAATCTACTGCACGGCACTGGCCACAGTATAGCAAGTCCAAATTATCAGTGTTTTCTGGAAGACAATGACATTTTGTGTACAGTGTTTGTTACTTGCAATGGTGCACTGCATTATTCTGATAGCTTTTCATACTTGTTCAAGTCAAGCTGTCATTCATATTGAACTCTATGAACTGGAGAGTATCACAAAATCAAAAGTATTGATATTTTTGCTGATAAGAATATCGTGGGTCTAGACAAAATATGGAATACACATCAAAATTTTTCATAAAACAGAAATGAATGTATTAAAGATATTCATGTTTATTTAAGAATCTAAAATGGTAACTTTGTTAATCTTCTGAACAATGCATGTGAATGAGAACAAGCTCTGATCTGACAATGGAGAGTAGTCTCTGAAAGCATTTGTTTGACTCCAAAATGAGATAAGAGATACTCATAATTGGTGTGGATACATTTTTTTTTATCATTATACAATAGGTTGTGAAAATATTAATTCTTACTCAAATGTAGGAACAACATTATTTGATATTGATATGACAGTTTTGTCAATATCTAATCTGTTATTTTTTCCTTAAATATGTTATTTTATTGCCAAATTAGCTGAGCCACTTAGCTTTATTCAGAAAAATGATATATTAAGTAAAGTTAATGTGTGCTTGAAACTGTAATATGACAGGATATCCTGTGCATATAATTAACACTCTAATTTTACTTCAAGAACTGCCCATAGAGCAGTTCATATAGCCAGATGACAGGTCATATATAGTGGTTATGTATAATAAGGCACTAGCTAACATTACAGGGAAATATACTACTATGCAGTTATCAAGATTGCATACAGGAGATCTACTTTTTTTTGTGCATCAGAAATGATAGACAAGCTGCTTGCCAGGGATCTAGTCTATCTTTGTATGCAATTACAGAGTGAACCATCTATGTGAATATATTGGGCCATGGCTAGATGCCTGAACATGAGGATTAAGGAACAATTTGGAAGCGGCTTTTTACTACTTTGTGGGGTAATTTTGTGGCAGATAATGATGTTCAGGTTGAATTTGATAAGGCACATATCTTACACCACTCTGTCGATCCTGCCCATCTCAAGTATCTTGAATGGATCAAAATATTCAAGGCAAGGGCTTTGAAAGGTGGCATGGCAGTTAATTATAAGGAGATGGACTGTATTTTAGTTGTTTTACAAGCATTATATGAGCTCACATAAGTCTTCTTACTAATACTTACGTTTTATTTACTATATATTGTAACATCATTTATGTTTTAATTGTTTTATGTTGTAATTGATATGTTCATTGAATCATGATGCTATTTCTTCACTGTGCATGCATGCATTTACAACAGTTTCAATTCTTTAAATTTGTAGTTGTGTTCTATTTTTAGAGTAGGCATTTGATTCTGTTTTTGTTTCTTCTAATTTGAGGATGACCATTCAAAATGAAATAAAACATTTGCTTTGCGTAAATATGTACATTTTTTAATGGGTTTTGGTGTCTAAGTGTATTACTATGTTATACCAATATTGTGGTAGGGACTGTGCTATATGGTTTAATATATATTCTGTATACTATAAATTATTTATATGGAATATGTTCGTTTTGTCATAAAGAATAAAAATGATTAAAAAACTTGTAAATATTTTTGATTACTGCTGTTATATAGATTCTTTGTAATAGAAGCTATAAAGTATAATAATGTTTATGTATGTATGTATGAGTTCAAAATAATTTCAACCTTATGTTTAGTGTTATTGCTGAATATAATATACAGGTAGCCCTCGGTTTACGCCGCAGTTCCATTCCTACAAAAGCCGGTGTAAATCGAATCGGCGTAAAATGAACCCGTATTTACAGTGAGGTATAGGGTTAGGTTCTACATAAGTGAAAAATAAGCTAATAATTTTGTTTATTAATACAATATAATACAAAATACATATAAATTTTTAATTTTTAAAATGTATTTTATCATAAAATAAAGTAAAATGTTTTTATTTAAAAATTTTAGTTTCGAATTTCTTACATTTTTCGGAAAAAAGTATCCATCTTTAATTGTTTACATTTTTGATTTCTTTCATTAAGAATTTCGGAATATGGTCGAATATGATGCTCCTTTTTACATTTGCACTTCGCTCCCAACATTGTCTAACTCACAAACTTCATCCGTCAAACTTTCCTTAGTTGAAAGGATACGTTAACCCGACGTAGAGCTACAGACGAGCGAAGACACTGATTGGTCGACCACCGGTCGCCGTAGCGCATATATAAGGTCAGTTTGAGCGGGAAAATTCAAGGTGGCTAAGGAGAGATAAATATCGTCTGGCCAACGAGAAGTAGATTTGTCTCACTAACGATAATTTGTGATCGCCGGAAGTGCTATTGCGTCGTAAGGTGTTTTCCTGAATGAACTGATACGGGATACATTCATTGGCGCTATGGATTCGGACGCCATTTATTGGACTATTAAGTTTAATATCTTGACTCGTGGGTACCTAAACGTTTAGTATTTTAATATTAATTTAATGCAAATGTATACATACCCAATAATATTAAACAGAAAAAATAAATATATTTAATAAAAATCTTTGTTTTAACGAATGTACAATGTCGCAGCTTGGTAAATACGTCAACACCGAAATGAAAATCAGTCTAGGGAAAATCGGGGAATTACATCTTGAAACGGCGAATTGCGCAGCGACGTTATTGTGAATTGGCGTAAATTGAACCGGCGTAAACCGAGGGCTACCTGTACTTTGAATTACCTTAAAAATATTACAAGTTAATTGAAAGTCTTAATTTCTTGAAAAGAGTTTGTATGTAGAAAACATTATGGGTATGTTTGACAATATATAAGTAAATTTAGACTTCAGTAAATTTAAGTGGCATTAATTTCAAGATATTTTTTGTACATTATTAATGTCAGATTGCAATTGAGACTTAGAGTTATATTTTAGATATATTATTGGGAAAATATTAGAAAAATTTTTATATATCTAATTCTAATTTGAAATTTTATAGACAACAATGAATTCAACTGCTCCTGTTAATCCAAAAATAACTCAGCTAACAAAACCTGCTACTGTGAAAGTTGAATCATTATCTAAGCCTGAAGCAGTGGATGAGAAGATTAGCCATGTACAATATATTAATTTGGAATTGAAATTTGAAATCAAAGAGGTATTATATTTTCTTTTTAATGAATATTAGAATAATTCTAAACAATTAAGCTAAATCAAGTTAAGAGAGTTGACAGAAAAAATATTTTTTTTTATTTAATGTGTTAGCTACCTAAAGTAAGCAGTGGTTAGATATATTTATTTGATTTTAAGATAGTGCCTTATTTTGTGAGTTTGCAGTTTGAAATGCCTCACCACAATTTAAGAAGATATGTACTTAACAATTTTATGATAAGCCTTTTCAGAAATTTTAGTTTCATCTTTAGATCTGACAGTGATTTTAACAAAAGTATATTCTGTTTGTTTTTCTTGTTAGCAAAAGTGATGTACACTTCACACCTACACTTTACTGTATAATGTAATTGCACTTACGTGTTGTGGCATTACTAACAGTGAATTTGAAATATAAATGAGTTCACAAGCACTTTCGATAGCATAAAGTTAGCATCGTCAGGTGTAAATTAAATACAATAGTTTTCAAATTCTGAGCTTTTAAACAACATATGAAAATATACAAAGCACATGGATGGAATACCAATATGAATTTGAAATAGAATAGAATAAGAATTCAAAAATTTTTTGAACAGCAATATGAGTGACGTAATATCCCCAAATATGTGTAGAGAGCGATAATGATGTTTAGAGATGTAGATTAGATTGCTTGAATACAGTTGTCCATATTTGTGGATTTCAAGAGTTGTTGTGTTGCACGGTGTTAAAGCCGATATGTAGAGGTTCTCCCAAATAAATAATACTTTCTGATTGTTGCACCATTTGAGTAACTCTGTTTGGGCCCAGAGCAGCTGATAATGTTGATCAACCACTTTTTTTGCCAATTCCGTTGACGGTCTACTGTTTCTGATATCCTCCTGATGTTCTAGGATGTGAGAAATTAACATTCTGGCCATGGCTCCTAAGTAGCTGGTCTCTTCTCCTGACAGATCATGTTTAAGTGGAATTTGATAAACCCCAGATTTTTCATTCAATTTAAAAATATCTGTCGTTGCATAATAGTTTTCTTAGCATTGGTTGTGTGGTTAACGGTAAAATAAAACTATTCATTCTAAAAAGATGTACTGTACTATTTTTAGAGAGACGGGGCCTAAAAACGGTATTGGACAATGTGCTATTTTTAGATCCTCTTTGTTACTAAGAAAAGACTGTGGAAATAGCTTATTTTTAACACAATTTTGGAGATAATGAAATTTAGACCTGGAGTATCTAGATTTTTGCATAGCTCTGCTAATGATTTGCAATTCTTCTTCCACTAGTGATTGGTTGGAAGGGAGAAGGTAAGCCCTCCGCATGAGAAAAGTTATGGCAGAGTTCATGTACTTTAATCTATTCGATGTTGAATATTTTCTCCGTCCACGTTGAATATTTTTCGATGTTAAGCCTAACGCGATCACATGTTTTAGAAAAATAATAGTTGTGGCTATTGTATTATTCCGAATTAATTTATATTTCTTACACACAAAATAGACATTTTAGGGAATGTAAAAAACAAAAACTTTTATTTTAAAAATTAATTTTAGTGTGATATATCTCAAAACAAGGTACAACACACAGTGGAACATTACACTGTACACGTTGATAATATGATTCTGCACGTTTTTTGTTAGCTGAACATACTTTACATACTCTGGATGGATGCTTTTCTTTCTCTTTATGTGGTATGAGACTAGGAAAATGCCATTTGGATAAATGTAACAGATTTTCACGTGATGGTTGACCACAGTGTGCTAGATGTCTGCTTCTGTGATACTTTTCTATCACTTCTCTGATTACAGACATACGAAAATCTAAAAATGATATTTGTATTTTCGTATGTTTTCGATATAAAATACAGGCCTTATATAATGTAATATCCATCATATAAAAAAACACTTTTTTGTACCATTTTTTTCATGCACAGATAATTGTGTATTACTCTGTCACAGAGATCAATACCACCCATATTGCGATTATAATCCAAAATACAATTTGGTTTTCTTATTATTTCCCCAGATCTGTCACGTTTACCCGAATCAGAGAATTCATTGTCTTTGTACTCCGTAGATTACATAGTATTCCTAATGGTCCCGTAAAACTTTTCACTTGAGGACATCTGAAATTTGTACGAATCCATCCGTCGTCACTACTAAATCGTGGACGTTTTGCAGTATTACGTCACATACTGTCACGTGATCTGCCTTTATATCCACTTGTAGATGGTAAATCAGGATCAAAATCATCACTATCATCACTTATATTTTGATCTGGCATGTAATCATCATTGCTGTTTGAAAATTCAGATTCATCAGAACCTAAATTGAATAAATATTCGATAACTTCTGACTTATTTAGAGCACTGTGTCTATTACTTGCTGCCATGTCGAAAGACAGAGACGAAGTGGTCTGATTTTCTTTGTGATTTCTAACAAAGAACTATTCCTAGAATTTCGATAATCTGCTGAGCGGAAACTAGATAACATAATAGTTCTTCTGATATGAGTCACTTATTTCAAAACAACATACAGGTAGCGACATCTGATATTTAAAAAATGTTTCGATGTAAACACGAAAATATTCGGGATTGGCCACGCAGGTCAACAAGGTCAACACGAATATTTTCAGGAACAGCGTAGGACAGGTTAAAGGTTGGAAGGCTGTTGCTGGGATAATTTGTGGGGCGTTGTTGTTTCTATGATGTACAGAAAGTAGGAGCTCAGGAGACGTATGGATTTCTAGATCTAAGAAAGAGATTCTGACATTTTGTTCTTCCTCTATTGTGAATTTGATAGAAAGATATATAGAGGCCAACACATGAATAAATTGATCTAAATCCTCAGTAGAGCCTTCCCACACAAGTAGTATGTCACAACATAATGTAAATACATAATTGCATCTTGGATGGTTAAGGGGGCATTGAAAATTCAAATTTTCAAACTCACAGTAGAGGAAGAGCAAAATGCCAGAATCCTTTTCTTAGATCTAGAAATCCATATGTCTCCTGAGCTCCTATTTTCTGTACATCATAGAAACAATATCCTTTTCTTAGATCTAGAAATCCATATGTCTCCTGAGCTCCTATTTTCTGTACATCATAGAAGGAATATCCTTTTCTTAGATCTAGAAATNTACATGAACTCTGCCATAACTTTTCTCATGCGGAGGGCTTACCTTCTCCCTTCCAACCAATCACTAGTGGAAGAAGAATTGCAAATCATTAGCAGAGCTATGCAAAAATCTAGATACTCCAGGTCTAAATTTCATTATCTCCAAAATTGTGTTAAAAATAAGCTATTTCCACAGTCTTTTCTTAGTAACAAAGAGGATCTAAAAATAGCACATTGTCCAATACCGTTTTTAGGCCCCGTCTCTCTAAAAATAGTACAGTACATCTTTTTAGAATGAATAGTTTTATTTTACCGTTAACCACACAACCAATGCTAAGAAAACTATTATGCAACGACAGATATTTTTAAATTGAATGAAAAATCTGGGGTTTATCAAATTCCACTTAAACATGATCTGTCAGGAGAAGAGACCAGCTACTTAGGAGCCATGGCCAGAATGTTAATTTCTCACATCCTAGAACATCAGGAGGATATCAGAAACAGTAGACCGTCAACGGAATTGGCAAAAAAAGTGGTTGATCAACATTATCAGCTGCTCTGGGCCCAAACAGAGTTACTCAAATGGTGCAACAATCAGAAAGTATTATTTATTTGGGAGAACCTCTACATATCGGCTTTAACACCGTGCAACACAACAACTCTTGAAATCCACAAATATGGACAACTGTATTCAAGCAATCTAATCTACATCTCTAAACATCATTATCGCTCTCTACACACATTTGGGGATATTACATCACTCATATTGCTGTTCAAAAAATTTTTGTATTCTTATTCTATTCTATTTCAAATTCATATTGGTATTCCATCCATGTGCTTTGTATATTTTCATATGTTTAAAATTATACACCCACAAATCTTTTACGGTGCGACATTAAATAAAAAGAAAAAGTTCTCATAAATGTTTTCAAACCAACATAAGGTTCTTCATCAGGTGAATAGTGGAAATCGTAAAAATTATTCGATGGAAATCATAAAAATTTGAAAGAGTCTTGATTATCGATTATAACAATAATTCCTGCAGCTGTTGTCATCAACGGGCATGTGCATTCCTCGGAAGCAAAAAATTTTTTTTTATTTAGATTCTTTCTGTCATATATAAGCGACTGTCATGCTAGGGATAGAAATAATTTGCCTTTATTGTTAATACATTTGTTATCTTGGCCAGCTCTGTATATACAGGGTGTATCAGAATGACGTTTTAAAAATTTGGGGGATTGTAGAGGATGAAATTTTGAACATTTTGATATAAGGAACCCATAGCTGGAAATGTGATATAAAGTTTCTACAGCGGTAGGAAGTGCTTGAGCCCCGTCACTTTAGCTACCCTTTCGTCCATTGATGTCATGTTATTGTTCTTGACTTCTTCCTCTGAGGTTATGTAAAGTCCTTTGTATGCGCATTACCTATAGGAACAGTTCATGAGCTTACGGAGTGCATCTTTACAGCATTTAATATCATCAGAGGGGAGCGTGGCATCTTACAGAGAGTCGGACAAAACATGGTTTGTCGTTGCACATTATGTGACGAAGTTGGTGGTCGTCACATTGAACATTTACTGTAAAGTAGTGCGGCCACTGATTCCATGTACAGTTAGGTTGTACTTTACTGTTTTGTCAATAAAACTTGTCATAAATACAGTGGTACCTCAGGATACGAAATTAATCCATTCCGACACTCAGATCATATCATGAAAATGTCGTAAGGTGAATCATTTTTTCCCATACGATTACATGTAAAACCAAATAATTTGTTCCAACACGAAAAACACACTCAAATTAAAGCTAAAGTAATACATTAAAAAATAATAATAATAATTATAGTAAGGAAAATACTAAAAAATGCGTTTTGTAGTTGTAAATGTATAAATAACCGTAATAGA